TAATTCTCTCCAAAACTTTCGTGCGTAATTGTAAAAAAAAAAAAAAAAGAAATATACGAAACTCATTTTTATCACATTAAATGACATTGAATTTTTAAAAAATTCAAACAACAAAAATTAATCAACGCACTTGTGACGCGCTTGTCACAAGACACCTATCTAAAACGCATACCTGAAACGCGTTATATTCCTTTGAAATTTGGACTTCTTGCTTATTAATTAACTCAACTTTTTCAATTAACTTAACTTATTGTTATTGCACAAAAGCGATCCGATACGACATAAATCGTCTCGAAAGGACTCGAAAAGAAAGGAGGAAGGGGGGAATTGATCGATCTCGAGAAAAAACTGGAACGAGATTCGGAATTTCGGATTCGAGAATCGCGAATTCGTGGCTCGATTCGCCGATAAAGCCCACGACTTATCTCACGCTTCTCCGAAAATTATAGCATCGGTGCACCGAGCTTCTCCGTCCGTGTCTGATTAGATCTGGCCACAGGGCTGGCTATTTCATGTGGAACCTCGCTAATTTCGGGGTTAATGCCGCGTGCAACGTTCGATGGAGGGGGAGGGGTTCGTGAGCTTCGTGCTCACGCGATAACGTTTTTTCGTTTCCACGTTTTTGAAGGTGGCTCGTCTAGAGAAGAGCTACCTTCTCTTTTTATAATAGTCAAAAATTGAAACCGTGTATGTGAGTGTGTGTTCACGATTGTTTTCGAAAGTTTTGAAATTTTGAAGGAGGAGCGTGATGAAATGACAAGTGATAAAGAGGAGAAGATTCGTGTAAATATATGGACGCTTTTTCCACCGCGTTTAAACAGTAAATTACAAAATAATTCTATTAAATATCATATTAACACGGTTGAGAATCGGGTTTACTTTTAACTCAATATGTTTAATTCAATTAAAAAATAAAGCGAAAAATGTATTTATTTATTTATCAAACGAAATAAAATTTATAAATCATAATTGAACGGCGGTGACGTAAATTAATTTATTAAATTTTATTTACTTCGCACCGAAGGTAAAGTAAATATTTTTACCGATAATGCAATTCATTATATATCATCGATATCTAATGGTAAAAAATAATTGAATTGATTAAATATTCTTTTCGTTTCACGTTTCATCGTGTGCTTTTTTTTTTTTTATTAAATATATTTGATTGTAAATTTTATTCTAATCATTATTCATTTCGTATTTGTATTTATTCGTATTCAAATAATTATTGAATCATCGAGATTTAAATTAAATACGCGCAGAATATACACGAGAATTAATCCTGTTTTTATCTCTCTCTATATATAATTCTTTCAAGCTTCGAGTAATACTAGTAAAAGTTGATTTTATAATATTTGGAAAATGGAAGAAAGGGAAGGGTTAAAAGAGGCTTGCCTGACCGATTTTTGGTCCTTTGATAGAGTTAGCAGATGGGTTTTGGTGGATGGCCTCGGTGAACGCGCCATTACTATGTAATCGTTACGTAAGGTGACGGAAAGAAGTCGAGATTGCTTTCTTCAACGGAACGGATCGTTTCACTTTGATCCCTTTGCGAGATTCTATTCGACCAATTTTCCTCGACTTTATCCCCCTCCACGAAAATATTGAAGATCAATCAACAATTACGGAGTAATATCTCCAATGGTCCAATTTCAATATATCGAGAAACGTTGAAATATCTCCATCGTCTCCATGCATTTCTTTTCTTTCCAATTGTTATTATAATTAATATATGTTTTTAATAATCTATGTTTCCCGAAACGAACGTTTATCTAATGTACTTTTTCTTTTTCAAAATCATTTCTGTACATTTCTTCTCTTCTACTGAGAAGAATACAAGAATTCGACTCAACTATTTATTATTTAAATAAAATCCATACCGAGATATTTGCGTTTAATCTATCACATGCACGCGATTTATTTATCACGTTAACATACACGTGAAATACATAGAGTATGAATATCGCTCGCAATAAAACGACGAAATGTTCGACCGTTTTAATATTCGTTCAAGTGTTCCCTATTTGAAATGCAGATGAATCGGCCGCCTTAAAGATCCAGTTCAAACAAGCCCGACCGGAATTAGCACGTTAAACGAAAGCCTTGGAAACTTTCGACCATTCGATATATATCCGAATGGACTAAGCCCCCTTGGTCCAATTTAGAATCCTCCGTTCGAGAAGATGGATACGTACGCGTCGATCGAGACGTAAGAAGCTTCCATC